GGGCCAGACCATTCTGTGCATCGGCCGAAACAAGACCAGCTGTGAGTCCTACGGCTACGACGCCTGTGACTACCAGGTGGCTGGTGGCTCCGTCAGGGCCTGTCCCTTTGGGTGTCCGTCCCCACCGCGCCCTCCACCCCCCACGCTTTGATCTCCTTGCCCCTTCGATCTGCTTGTCCATCTCCAGGTCTCACTTTGGTGAGAGGCTGTGAGTAGCGCTTTCCACGCCACGACAAACCTCCAGGGGGCGCTCCTGGCCTCATTCTGCACTGTGCTGGGTGGCAGCCCTGGCTCTCGGGTTTGCCCACGTGTGTCTTATCCTCGAGACCCAGGCTGTTTTGTTTTTTAGTTTTTTAAGATTTTATCTATTTATTTTTAGGGGCGGGGGTTGGAGAAAGACAGGGAGAGAAACAATGTGTGAGAGAAACATCGATTGGTTGCCCCTTGTACAGGCCTCCACCAGGGACAAAATCCTGCATGCGCCCTGGCAAGGAATGGAACTAGCAACCTTTTGCTTTGTGGTGTGAGGACACCCAACCCACTGAGCCACACCGGCCAGGGCAAGGCCCAGGGTTTTTTTGTTTTGTTTTTTAAGATTTTATTTATTTATTTTCAGAGAGGGGAGGGAGGGAGAAAGAGAGAGAGAGAGAAACATCCATGTGCGGTTGCTGGGGGCCGTGGCCTGCAACCCAGGCATGTGCCCTGACTGGGAATCGAACCTGCGACACTTTGGTTCGCAGCCCGCGCTCAATCCACTGAGCCACGCCAGCCAGGTGTGAGGCCCAGGTTTTAACTTAGCAATCATATTAGACTTTAGCCAAGGCTCCTGTCCACAGAGACCCCTGCCCAGCGGTGGGTGAGGGATGGCTGGGACCACGGGGGGGGGGGGGGGACCACGGGTGGTGACGGGCGCCCTTCTGCACCAGTGCTGGGAGAACCTGGTGGGGGAGGAGCTGTACAAGCTGAGCATCTTCAACTTCCTGCTCACGGTGGCCTTCACCTTCCTCGTCAGCCTGCCTCGGAGGTGAGCCCCGTGGGGACACCCTGGGGGCGACCCGGGCGCGCCTGGGACAGCCAGGGGCTGCAGCCAAGGGTGGGCAGTTCTATCTACACGCGTGGGTCCCCGTGGTGACTGAGTGTGGGACGGTCCGTCGCCGTGGCCTTGATGGATGCGGCCCACGCGCCCCTCCAGGGCGGTGACCCCCAAACACGCCCTGTGCCCAGGCTGCTGGTGGAGCGATTCTCAGGCCGGTTCTGGGCCTGGTTGGACCGGGAGGAGTTCCTGGTGCCCAAGAACGTGCTGGACATCGTGGCGGGGCAGACGGTCACCTGGATGGGCCTCTTCTTCTGCCCCCTGCTGCCCCTGCTCAACAGCATCTTCATCTTCCTCACCTTCTACATCAAGAAGGTCCGGGCACACGGGCTGGGAGGGAGCAGGGCGCCCCCTGGAGGGGGCTCACGTCCTGCCTCCGCGCCCCAGCCGGCAGCATCACGCCCCTGGGCCTGACTCCTGGGCGCTGCTAACAGACCCGTCCTTGTCGCTTGCTCCCCAGTACAACCTGCTGAGGAACTCCAAGGCGTCTTCTAGGAGATTCCGAGCCTCCAGCTCCACCTTCTTCTTCCAGCTCGTGCTCATCCTGGGCCTGCTGCTGGCCACCGTGCCCCTGGGCTACGTGGTCAGCAGGTGAGGGGGGCGGAGGGAGCGTGGCGGAGGGACCCGGGCGGAGGGGTCTCGGCGGAGGGGCGGGCGGGAGGGCGGCTCCCCTCCGGGGCCCTGACCGCAGCCCGGCTCTGGCCGTCTCCGCGCACAGCATCCACTCCTCCTGGGACTGCGGCCTGTTCGCCAACTACTCGGCCCCCTGGCAGGTGGTCCCGGAGCTGGTGGCCCTCCAGCTGCCGCCCCTTGGCCAGCGAGCCCTCCACTACCTGGGCTCCCACGCCTTCAGCTTTCCCCTCCTCATCCTGCTCAGGTGCATCTCAGGAGCGGGGCAAGGGAGGGGGTGCCTAGGAGTGGGGGTCCTTCCCCCGGCACCCCCATCCAGTCTCATGGGACCAGACAAGGGGAGCTCAGGGAGGTGGACCCCCGGAATACGGAGCATAGGGCCCAGGGGCCTGGGGTTTCCCCCTGTGCCCACAGGCAGCCCCCCGGGGGCTTCACCTGACCCCCCCCCCCCGCAGCCACGGAGCCTGGCGCATGCGCTGAAAACCTGCCGTGCTTGTGGCGGTCGTTCAGAGGAGAGGGACTGGGCACAGGTGGGGGGAGGGAGGGGCGGAGAGAGGACCCCAGGAGGCGGTTTTAAGAGACTGGGGAGGGGAGGGAGGAAGGAGGGGTGATGACCTTGGACCCCCCTCTGTCCAAAGCCTTATCCTGACCGTGTGCATCTCCCAGTCCCAGGCTAAGGCGAGGGCCATCCAGGGGCTCCGGAAGCAGCTGGTGTGGGTGAGTGTCCGCTGGGCTGGGAGAGGCCACCGACCCCGGGTGAGCCACCCTCCGGGAGGTGTGGTCTCAGGCTGGGAATAGAAGCGGGGAGGGTGGAGGGGGACGGGCTAGGCGTGGCCTCAAGCTAGGAGCCAGACAAAGCACTGTGGCCTTAAATTTGAGGACCATGGTTTAACGTGAGAGTGGCTGAGGGCCGGGCCGGGACGCTGTTTGAGGCGTCCTTGGGCGGGAACCGCACTTTATGGGGCGTGGCCGCACGGGAGGCAGGTCCGAGGACCCGGTCTTTTGAGGGGCGGGGCTTGCGTTGGGCGGGGCCTCAAGCGGGCTGCAAGCGGCGGACTCCGGATCAGCTGCCGGGAGGCAGGGACTGCGTCCAGGCCTGGCCTGCCCGCGGGGGCGGCGCGGCTCCTAACCCGCCGGTCGCTCCCCTACAGCAAGTCCAGGAGAAGTGGCACCTGGTGGAGGACCTGTCGCGGCTGCTGCCAGAGCCGGGTCTCGGTGACTCTCTGGGGCCTGAGTCGCCTCTCTCTCGATCTTCGCGCCCGAGATCCTTCTGCCCCGGATTCCCGTGCCCCGGCTCCCCGGGCCCTAGGTCCCCCCGGCCCTCCCCCTCCCGCGGATCCTTCCTGTAGATTCCGCTTCCCAGCAGCGCTGAGGCCCGACGTGCAGACCTCAGCTGGACCCCAGAGGACCCCTTGCCCCACGCTCCTGCCCCCTGGTGACCACGGCCTCCCCGTGGACGCCCCAAAGCGGGATCACACACGCGAGGGCAGCAAGAAGACGATATGGAAATTTGTGTTCGTAGTTTATACTTTTATCTTATTTCTTTAAGTTTTCTGTTTTGTTGTCTTATAATGTCCCTAACGTATTAGTATGATAACCCATAAATACAGTTTATAAATATACATCCGCCGGGAGCGCCGCTGTAAAATTAAAGGGTCCCCCCACCTGTGGGGAGGGACCACCAGGCCACAGAGCAGACCTGCAGGGGGACGGGTTCGTGGCTCCGGGGTGCCGCCCGAGGCTGGGTCCGTGGTTTCTGAGCCTGCTGGAGCTTCCTTCTCGAAACCCGAGGCCGTGGTGGCGGCTCTCCATCCACCGACCTGGGCCTGGGAGGGCGCCTGAGACGCTGTCAGAAGCTGGCCCTGGCCAGGACTCGGATGGCATCCATCCCGGCGGAGCCAGCAGCCAGGGATCGGCTTTCTAAAGCCTGCCCCGGACTTACCGCGGCCAGGGCTGAGAACTGCTGGTCCAAAGGACCAGGGCGGGTGGGTGGGGGGCAGTCAGAACAAACCCCAGACCTGCTTGAAAAGGCCCCGCCTCCACCGGGGGCCCAGCACCTGCCTGGACCCGGGTGGGACTGTCGGGTGCCCTCAAACCAGCAGCTTAACAAGGTCACGGAAGGCTCAGCTGGCTAGCTCTTCCTGTCCCGGTCCCCTCGCACTCACCCAGCATCACGAGACCCATCAGTCTTGTCAGCACACGCTGGGCCCTGTCCCAGGGCTGGTGACGAGCCTACGAGGGAAACGGCTCTGTGCTCAGGCGAGGAAGGGCCACCCGCCGGGCCCACGGAGAAGGGACACCCATGAGTTTGCAGCTTGGGGCAAAAGCGGGGTTCTTGGGTTCCACTTCCAGCATTGCCCGGGGACTTGTTAGAAATGCACATTCTCAGGCCCCCTGTGGGCTCCGGAATCAGAAGCTTTAAGGGGGTTGGGGGTGGCTAGCAGGTGAGTCCCTGGGGTGGTGACGGCCCCAAAGTGGGAGAACCACGGCGTGAACCACGGGCGTCCTTCCTCCACCCCCTTTACGCACCTCCAGCCAACAGTCCCGGAGGGCCAGCCGGGCACCGGGCCAGTCTCCCCGGGAGCCGTGAGGGAGCAGGCCTGCTCGGGGCCCGGGGAGCCAGCAGGTGTCCGTGAGGATGTAATGAGCAGTCACTCACACCGTGTCCAGGTGGGTGCCTGGCCCTCCCCAGGAGGGTGGTCCCTCCCCACTCTGAGCTCAAAGACGCTGCTTGAGCGCAGCACCTGCTTGAACACACTCCTGGGCTAACCAGGCACCTCACCTGGTCTGAGGTTAAACTTGGGGGCTGAGCCCAGCACCGGCCACCTGACAGGTGCCCAGCAGGCAGGCAGGCATGAGTGAACCAGCTGAGATGGGTGGAAGGAGCCTCCCCCGCCTTCCCCACTAACGGGGGTCCAGCCCCCCAGCCCTCCAGGCGTGCATGTCAAACCCCCCACGCAAAGTGTGTGGAGCTTCAGAAGGACCCTTGTGATTACACTGGGTGCACCCCAATAATCTAGGATAACCCCACTACCTCGAACCCATCATATAAACAAACTGAAGTCCTCCTCACCAGGGGACATGCATGCTCCCGGGGACATCCCCCCACCCAGCAGGCCCAGGGGCCCGCAGCCTGGCAGTGGTGGTGGAGAGCAGCCCCTCTGGGCTCCACAGCCCAGGCCCCTCCCGATTCCCTGTGGGGCGTGGCCGAGGCTGCGGTTCTGGGCCCAGCCCCGGGTGCCGAGGCCTCTGGGTTATCTCCCCCGCCCACGGTGGGCACCTCCCGGGGAGTACCCTGGGAGCGTCGGGTGGCGGAGGCCCCTGACTGGGGGAGCCTTATCGAGCCGGAGCAGATGGGCCGCACCGACGCAGACATGAGGCTCCTGCTGCTGCTCTGTGCGGCCACGCTGGGTGAGCTCGCGGGGGTGTCTTGGAAGGGGGTCTCGGTGCTCAGGGTGTGGGACGCCGGGGGCACCGGAGATGTGGGGCCTGAAGACAGGGACACCTCCGGAAACACGGGACAGGGAGGGACAGAGCTGGGCTTCGGTTTCAGTCCGGCCCCGCAGCATGTGCGGCCCGGCCGCTGCTTCTCCTTCCTGGGCCCACTGTTTGCCCGTCTGCAAAATGGGCTGATGCCACGAAACATGGGCTTGAAAGGGCTTTTGTGAGTGAAGAGCCTCGGTGCATCCCGGGCCTCCCACCTGGCCTCAGGAGGGGCCTCTCTGGGTAACGACAGCCTCCTCTTACCACCCTCCGCACCCCCCTCTCTTACAGCTCCCAGCTGCTTCTCCCTGGAGCAGGAGACAGGTGAGCAGCCTGGCAGCGGGAGGGAGGGCCTCCCCCTTCCCCGCGGTGGACCCTTGGCTGTGGGGAGGTTGCGGTCGGTGGGGGGGTGTCTGCTGACAGACATTTGGAGGACTCTAAAGCCCGACCCCCAGCCCTGCAGGGCCCTGGGGGAGTGGGAAGGAGAAGGCTGGGTGGGGGGGGGCTCCTGGGGACTTGGGGCAGTGAAAGTGGTTGGCTTCCTGTTGGGCTGTGTGTGCTGGGGGCCTGCTGGCGAGGGGGGCGGGCCGGCGTGTTCCTGGGCAGGTGTATCCCGGTCACTCTGCCCCAGGTGCCAGGCAAGGAGCAGCAGCTCTCAGGCAGCTCACAGCTCTGCCGAGTGGGTGTGGCCCCAGGGAGGAGTGGGAGCATTCAGGTGGGGCACTGGGAGGCCCAGAAGGGAGCAGTGAGCAAACGGGGAAGTCCAGGCTCACCCCGAGGTGTGGCAGACGAGAGGCTGCCTCCTCCTGCGCAGGCTCAGGGCCCGCTCTGCTGCGGACTGGGGGTCCCAGCGCCAGGGGAGGGCACAGTCTCAGTCCTGCCGTCTCCCCTCAGCATGGCCCCTCCTCTTCTCGGCTCCCTTCCCTTCTCCTGCCATCTCTCCTGCACCCACTTCTAGCCCTTTGCCCCTCGTTGCGGGTAGAGGTCGTGGGCGCCTCCTCTGCTGGCCTCCCAGTCTGGCCAGGCCACAGGGTCCGGGAGCCGCACCCGCCCCTCAGGGCGGGTCTCGACAGCACAAGCCGGAATGTCATTTCCTCATTTGCTTTAAAAACAAATGCACTGTGGCGCTTTTTTGCTAAATGAGAGGGGGGGAGCATGCGCCTAGCTCCTCCCTCTCATTCCCGGGCTTGGCTCACTCTCCCCCATCAGGTCCTGCTACCTGAAGGCCTAAGAGACCCACTGGCAAACCCTTCCTCCTTCCCTTCCCGCTCTCCTTCTCACTGAGCGCGCTCGAGCTGAGAGCGCCGGCGTGGCCCTGGGCCCTGCTCTGCCCGGGATGGGCACACCAGGAACAAAATCGAAACAACAGCCCCTGCCCTCGGGTGGCTCCCATTCCTGTGGGGACAAGGGAACAGGTGACATGATATGATTGGGCACACTCTCCAGTGTCCCGGGAGGTCACTGGTCCGAGAGAAAAGCGAGCGGTAGGCGGGAAGGGAACTCTCAGGTGGGGAGGGAGGGCGGTACTTACTGGGAAGTTCACACTGATAAGGGGACACCCTGCCTGTCACAAAGACAGTCAGAGCAGGATGCGCCTGGACAAGGACCCTGTGGCCAGAGCGCAGGAAGGGCGGGGAGGTCAGAGGGGCGGGAAGGTGGGGAGGGAGGGCCGAGCTGTTGGAGGGCTTGCTCGGGGACAGGTCTGAGTGAGGCTTCAGGGGTCCTTTCGGCTGCAGTGTTGGAAAGAGACACGTGGGGACACCGGGTGCAACCCCAGAGAGCCATCGGGCTGTCCCCGGATCCGGAGGGGAGGTGGCTGACGCCAGGGAGGAGGGGCCGGGAGACAGTCTGCAGGCCAGGCCTGCCGCACTGCTGGGGGGTGGGTGAAGGGGGCGCATGCGAGAGGGCCCTCTCCCCCCGGCTGTGCCCTGAGCCAGGGCAGGGACCGGCTGCCATGCGGCCTCGCTGTGGAAGCGGCATCAGCGGAGCGGGAAGTGGGGCAAAGGACACAGGCTGTTCGGGAGCTGAAGAGCCGAGAGGTTGCAAAGGTCTGGGAGCTGGAATTCTCAGGAACAGCAGCAAGTGCGGAATGAAGAGCTCAGTCATGCGCCACCACACAGCGGGGCACGTTCGGTAGGCCGCGCCCTGGGCAAGCGTCCCAGAATGCGTGGACACACCTGCAGGGCACGGCCCACTGCACACCTGGCCGGCGGGGCAGAGCCTGCGGGTCGCGGGGACTGGCCGGCACAGCACGCCCGCCCCTGCACTCGACGGCAGGACAGTTGGTTAACCCGGCCGGCGCGGACTGGCGCGAGCGAGGTGCGGGAACCCCGGCGGAGGAGGCGGTCCGACAGCGAACTGTATTTCCGGAAGCGGAAAGAGGGCGCCAGAGAACAGCGAGGAGATGCGCAGCACAGCGGACACACAGATCCCTAACATGTCGTTGGTCACAGTTACCCAACATCCATCACACACGGCATGCGACTGTCCCTGCCGCCCTTTCCCACGGCTGGCAGCACAGCGGGTCTGTTGACACCAGCGCCACCGCCAGCACGTGGGCGAGGCGTCGCGCAGCCGGGTGGAGACAGCTCCGATGGCACCAGGAGGTGGGAACCTTCCCACTCCAGTGGACCCTTACTGGGCCAATGGGGCCATGCGATATATGTGGTCTGTCATCCACCGCAGTGACCCGCCGCGGCCCGTGACTGTGGCAGGAACCAGGGACACGGACCTCCAAGGTCATTGTAACCCAGAGGGCCCGCTGGGGGATGTCTGAAGACATCAGGTTCAAGGCTGGTGTTTAGGGAGTGAGCAGGGAGAATGGTCCGGAAGTACCAGGAGGAGGACTGGCTCGTCGTCCAAGGTCACGGCCAGGCAGGCTGTGGAGCCCCAGCGCCCGGAGACAGCGCAGGGTGGGCAGGGCGCTGGGGAGGAGGTGGCTCCCGCTGGGCGTGGGAGTTGCAGAGCGGTGGAGGGATCCGGCCAGGGGCCAGCTGAGCCTGCGTTCCAGGGGGCGCGGTGAGGAGTGAGGGTGGGAGGGGCCGGGAGGTGGGACCGGACGTGGGGCAGGAGGACCAGGGTGAGCTGGGGGCCAGGGGGTCCCCGTGGGGCTGCCGCGACCATCGGACAGTGTTCTCCTTCAGTGGAGCCTCGATGAACGGGCAGACGCCGAGAGCGCGCGTGGTTCCGAGCCATTGCACCCGAGTCCTGCGGAGGGAGGCTGTCTGGGCGGCCTGGGGCAGCCACGAACAAAGTGCCACAAGGCGGGCAGTTAAAGACAACAGGCGCGGATCCTCTCCCTGTTCTGGCGTCCAGAAGCGCAAAAACCAAGGTGTCGGCGGGACTGGTTCCCTCTGGAGCCCCTGAGCAGACACTGCCATGCTGCTCTCTGGTTTTGGTGGGTGCCGGCAGTCCTGGGCGAAGGCAACTAGTCCCCGTATTCTTCCAACATCTGCGTCCGCCTTGTGCGCATGCGCATGTGTGTATCTCTTGTCAGGCCCCGCCCAACCCAGTATATATTATTGGAGTACGTCTGCAAACAAGGTTATTTCCAACTAAGGTGCCATTCACAGGTCCCGGGGGTTAGGGCTTGAACTCATTTTTCTGGAGGACGCAATTCCACCCTGAGCAGTTGGGCCACCCCCTGGAAATCAGACCCCTGGGCCCAGCGCAAGGCCTCACAGGTTGGAACTCCAGGGTCCGGGCTGCAATCTTCAAGCTCCTATTGACAACAGAGACAATTGTGAGGAGCAGGGCGCCCCCAGGGCCCCGGCGGAGCTCTGTTGCCTGAACTTCTTTCTTTAGCAGCAGAGGGAGGCCCTGCCCAGCCGCCCACGCAGCCCAGCCTCCCCTCAGCTCAGCTTCTAGTCCCAAGGGTGGCCTTGTCGTCACGTCCTGAAATTTTGAGTGTGCCATCTGGTCATTCAAATGTTCTGACACCCTCGATGAATTTTTAATTAAATGCCAACTCACTCGTTAGTGGTGGCTGGATGTGTACGTACGCTACATAATCCGCAGGGGGAAAACCCACAGGAGTCTGTCTTGTTAGAATCAAAAGGCAGTGCCTACGCACAGGATATGAAAAGACAGCCTGTGAATTTATGTAAATCAAGCTTCTATTAATGGCCATCGAAATGGAAATGAAGGTGGCCAGCTCTTTCTTTTCACTTTTCTGAGTCAAGTTCGGCTCCCCCCCTCTGTGTCTGGAGCTCAAACAGAAGTGGGTCGGTCTCTGCCCTGGATGCCCACCGCCCCTGCAGAGGAGGGTCTGGCGCAGAGCAGCCGGGGGCAGGGGCAGGGAGTGGGCCCTTGGCCCCAGGGTCGAGCTGGTGAACAGTTAGTAGCAAAATTTGCAAAACGGTGCCCCGGAGAGTAGTTTCTAGTAACTCTAGAAACAGCTTCACTTGCTTCAACACCAAGATTCTGCGTGAAAAGCCTGCTCCCTCAAAGACAGCAGTTCTCACAAAGTTCAGCGAGAGGCACAGATGAGAATCTGTGGGTGACTATGGCCCTGGGCAGGGTGACACCCTGATTCCAGCCACAAGCTGCCAGCCAGCACCACCGCCGCCCGGCATCGGTCCTAATGACGCTGGGGCCGGAGAATCCGTCACAGTGACCGTAGGACACGGAGCGGCCTCTCCGGCCTCTCCCCCACCAGATGCCAAGAGCACCCTGCACTCGTGACACCAAAAATGTCTGCAGGCGTGAGGTCCCTGGAGACAGCATCACCCTGGGTGAGAACCACTGGGCTGGAGAGAGACGGGTTCAGTGCCGGAAAGGTGGGGCCCCAGGGACGTGTCCCCGGAGACCACGGCACTCTGCTCCAGGAGCAATGTGCTGACTGCAGAGCGTTTCGGAAGCCAGGGCGCCCAGCAGGCGCGGGGGGCGCAGGAGGCTGTGACACCGGATGCTTCCTCCACCCTGCCCAAGCGCTGCCCCTGCACCGGTCTTGAAAGCGCGCCCTGAAGAATACGCCCCTCCTTGCCCTGACCAGCACGGCGCAGCGGGCGGGGCGTCTTCCCACGAAGCAGAAGGTTGCTGGCCCCACTTCCGGTCAGGGCACGTGTTTGGGTCTCAAGTTCGGTTCCCAGTCGGGGTGAGCTAGAGTCTCGCCATCGATCTTTCTCGCATCTGTGTTCCTCTCCCTCACTTGCTTCCTCCCTCCCCTCTTTCTAAAAATAAATTTGAAAAGAATTTTTGAAAAAAAAAAAAAAAGAAAAGAATATGCCCTCCTCTCCCGAAGGCAGTTTTGTTTGAACCCTACGACAGGACAGCCAGAGAGGCCTGTGGTCTGCGTCCGTATGGGCTCCGGGGCCCGCCTGCGAAGCAGAAAGAAAGCTGCCTCCCCGCGGAGAGGTGGTCTAGGTGGGCGCCGAGGGGCTCCGGACCCGGGTCTGCGGAGGAGAGGCCCGCGGCGCCGTGAGCAGGCGTCTCCTTCTGAAGTCCCGCCCCGGAAGTGGCGTCTGTCTCTCGGGTCCCCTTCCCGGCTGGGATCTGTGCTGCAACAGCCCCGGTGGGTCTGCTCGTGCCCCCGGCCCCCCACTGTCCCGCGGACCTCTCTCTCTCAGGGAGCATCCCAGGCCCGCGGTGGGTCCCACGCGAGGGGCCTCTGATGTGCGGGAAGACGGGCGCTCGCATTCCTCCCGGCCGCTGCCCGGGCTCAGGCCCGCCGCAGCGCCAGTCCCTCGGGGGGCCGGCTGGCATTGTCCCTCGCGGGTCCCCATCCCTGTAAGGGAACCCGCAGCTCAGTGCGTCCTCGGGGAACGCGGGGACGCACGGAGCGAGGCGCCGTCATCCCAAAAGGAGGTCCCCACACCGAGGACACAGGCCGCACCTCGGCCTCTCCCTGGACGGTGACCGCCTTGTCGTCGAAGTGAATCATGCAGTGACAAGCGGTAAATCTCTGGTCTCCTACCGTGGGCCGGGGCACAGTGGCCGGCCAGAGGGACGCACGGGTCCCGGGAGCGCAGGCCCGACGCGACGGGGGTCCAGGGTCAGCCCTCCTAACCCGTGCCCCCCCGCTCCTCCAGGCTTCCTACTGCTCTGATTCCATTTCATCTTTATAGTAAAACCTTCCGCTTCTTTTTATTTTCTTTAAGAAAAATTGAGGTGAAATTCACGTGGCAAATTTAGGCATTTTAAACGGATAATTCAGCAGTTCATTTAGTGCGTTCACAATGCTGTGCGGCCGCCACCTCTGCGTACGTGCAAACCACTCCCATCGCCCCACGAGGAAACCCCGGCAGCTCAGCAGTTGCTCCCAGCCCGCCCCTCCCCCCAACCGCACTACCCTTCCCCCCTTCTGTCTCTGGATTTTCCCACTCCGGACATTTCACATCAACGCAGTCAGTCACACAGTATGTCACCTTTTGCGCCTCCTGTCACTAGCGTCATATCCTCCAGGTTGCAGGAGTGTCCGCCCTCCTCTCTTTTTCGGGGCGAGCAACATGCGGTTGTGCGCACGAGCCCTACTTTGTGTTCGCATCCATCCGCGGGTGGACCTGGGCGGGGAGCGGCCTCCACCGCCCGGAGGCTGTGAGCGGCGCTGCTGGGAACGTGTGCGCGCATGCGCCTGTTCCAGGCCCCGTTTTCAGTCCTGTGGGCGAATGTCTAGGCTTGGGAGTGCTGGGTCACGGTGATGCTTTGTTTAACTTTTTGAAAAACCGCCACCCCGGCCTTTTCTTACCGTGCTTGATGAATGTTGGGTTTCCTCCCGCCTCCTCTGTGTCACCTCCCAGAAGTCCTCCCCGAGGTCTCCATTGCCTACAGAGTCCTGGAGGTCTTCCCCCGAGGCCGGCGGGTGATGATAACCTGCCACGCGCCCAACCTGCCCCCGCCCATCACCTACTCCCTCTGGGGGAGCCAGGACGTTCAAGTGGCCAAGAAGGTGGTGGACACCCGCGACCCGACCTCCTTCAGCATCAACGTCACGCTCAAGTCCAGGCCAGACCTGCTCACCTACACCTGCCAGGGGGCCACCCCCTGGGGCTCGCAGGTGGCCAGCTCCAAACTGCAGCTGTACTGGGAGCTGTGGGCCGGTGAGTTCGTGGGCACAGGGGATGGGGCGCATGGTCTGGAAGATAAACGAAGTTGCTGGGGATGAGAAGCGTGGGGGCTGGAGTCCGAAGGTCAGGAAAGAATAGGCTGCCGGACTCCAAGGGCCACCCCAGTCCCTTGGGGCCTGGCCAGGCCAGTGTAGATGCTGCTGGGCCCCCGGGGTGCTGGCCTCTGGCCTGGCTGGGCCCTGAGGGGGTTTGGAGGAGAGCAAAAATGTACCCTCAGAGCTCTAGCCTCAGGCTGATAGAGCGGGCACTCGGTGCTTCATCTGGTTTAATCTTGCCGCAGCCGAGGCCACCCAGCCTCGATGAGAGGAAGCTGAAGCTCTTGGAGGCCGACACAGTTATCCCAGGCCGCCCAGCCGGCAAGTGGCTAAGGCCGGTTTCAAACCCCGCACCATGGAGCTCCAAAGCCTGTGTTCTTCCCATTCCGACCCTGGTCTTAACTCAGGGGTCCTTCCCAGTGGGGGGCTCAGGGTGGGAGCGGAGAAGTGTTGCCCACCCGGTGCTGGGACTGGGACCCTGAGGACTGGCACCCAGTTGGAGACAGCCTGGGGAAGAGAGCCCCGAGTCTGCAACGCCACAGGTCCAGGGTTCAAATCCCCACACCCCTAGGCTGTGGGTTCTTAGGCAAGTCACTCAACCTCTCTGAGCCCGGTTGCTTTGTCTGCAAAACAAAGGCAGTAGTTCCTGCGCCAGGGTTGGGGTAGGAAGGAGCCAGTGGAAGTTCTCGGTAGGGGGTAGGCACTGGACCAGGCACAGGGGCTGTCGCTCACAGAAAAGCTGTTCAGAGCATGAGGCTGTGGGCCCCGGGGGTTTCTAGACTCCAGACTCTGCTAAGAGGCAGGTCTTGCCCTTTAGGAGCCTGTGTATTTCAGCACAAGGGTCAAGACAGAAAGGATACAAGTGGGACTGACAGATACATTTTGCATGGGACATACTTGTACTAAACAATTATTCCTTGTTGACGGGAAATGCAAATTTAACTGGGCATCTTGTATTTTTATTTGCTCACACTGGCAACCCAGAATATCCTGCATGAGAATAAACCCAAACGAGAACACGTGTGGTACACACCGCACGTGGGGAAGATGCCCAGATGTGAGGCAGAGGGAGCAATCCGGAAGGCTGCCTGGAGGAAGCACAATTATAGTTAGGCCTCCAGGCTCAGTTTCTCATAACAAGCGACCTTGCTGGGAAGAGTGTGTTGTAGTCTCCCAGCCATACCTGTGCTTCCCATCCTGTCCTGCTAGAGCCCGTGTCCCAGCCGCAAGCCAACTTCACCCTGCTGGACGGAGGGGCAGGCCCGATGGTGCAGGTGTCCTGCCAGGCCTCCTCGGGCAGCCCGCCCATCACCTACCACCTGGTCAGGAAGGACGGGCATGTCCACATGCAGCAGACGCCGCACCACAGGCAGCCTGCCAACTTCTCCTTCCCACTGACCCAGGCGTCCTACTGGTACCAGTGCCAGGCCAAAAATGACATCAATGCCCAGAGCAGCCCCTTCACCCTGGTGCCCCCAGGTGAGAGGGCCCCTTGGTTTCCGGAGGGGCAGCTGCCACTTCTGGGCAGCTGGGCGGGAGGTGCCGAGAGTGGGGAAGGGCACCGGGAAGCAGCCACACCTACCCTGGCCCTACCTGCCTCCCTCACAGGACAGCTGCCCAAGGGCCCCACCTTCGTGCTGGCTGCCAGCCTCACCTCCATCACAGCTATCACCTCCGGGATGCTGGGCTGGACCGCGTGGAAAAGGTAGGAAGTGGGCGCTGGAAGCGGGGGAGGGGTGGGAAGCGCCGGCAGCCTGAGTGGACCAGCAGAGAACCCGTCTGGAGAGCACAGGGCGCTGGGTTTGTACGGCGGGGCTGCCACCAGGGCGGAGAAGGGGCCATACTGCTTGTGCGTGACTTGCAGAGGTTTATGAAGGGCCTACTATGTGCCACATGGCTGCTGAGGGCTTGCTGATTCACATGGCTTTATGTGACCTTGACCACGGGTCCCTGTTGTCCTGCCCTGCAATGCAGCCAGCTGGCCTCTGGGCGGGGCACTCTCTGTGTTCCTTATGGGTCTGAGCAGGGACATTGGCATGGGGACAGGCCTCCTGGGACCAGGGTGGGTCAGTGGCTTCTGCCCTGCATGGGGACCACAGAGGTCACTGCTCCCCAGCTGGTGACAGGAGACAGGGGTCTGACCTCTCAGGGACCCCCTCCAGCGTCGTCACTCCGCTGACTTGTAAAGTGGCCAGGGTCTGAGGGCTCCACCTGTCCGGCCCCGGGAGGCAGTCGCGTCTGCTCTGTTCGATCCTCTCCTTCCTTGGTTCCTGAGACACCGTCTCCCGGTCCCGCCTCTGTGGCAGGCATTGTCCAGGAGTCTGTCCTCAGCACTCTCCTTGTCTTATCTCGGGGTCCCTTCCTCCAAAGCTTCTGTTCTGCCCAAGGCCGGACTCAGGGGCGAGCCACAGCACATCTCTGAGCCTCAGTTTTCCCCTCCACAAAATGGGGTCAGAGTCCTGCTTCCCACTCACCTCGTGACCAGGGCCCAGCACTTGCCCTCCGGGTGACTCAGTGCCCCTTTCATTTAGTGGGGTGACTCAGCCTCGCGCCTCTCCTCCTGCCCAGGGCCCGAGTGCGCTTGGCACCATAAAATCCCAAGATGCCTTGGGAGGGGTGGCTGGGAGGTACGCTTGCCTTAAATAAGCTGGAATCTCACCTCCTTTGTCATCCAGGCTGTGACCGGAAAATGCAGGCTCAGCAGAGTCCCCAGCAGAACGCGCCTCCCCCCCCCGCCCTTGCCCCCTGCAGAAGGACCCACCATTCGGATGGAGAGCCGCGCCCCGGCCTGGACTCCCGGAGCCCTGGTGTCCCGCAGGGAGGGTTTCAAGGTGGGGGGAGGCTGTAGAGGGGAGAGGAGGTCCCGGGTCAGAGGGGGCCCTGTGTCCTTGCTCCTTAGCCACTCATCACCGTCCATGCGGCCTGGGAAGAAGGTGGGGAAAGACTGTGACAAGGCCCAGCTGTACCCCCACTCAGGGCCTCCCCTCCCCTACATCGGCTCCCCTCTTCCCTGCAGTGGCGCCCTGTCTCCCTGTGGCCCAGTCCTCTGGCCTCACCTGGCCAGCCCCCTCCTCCCATTGACCTTACCTGCAACTGCAAAGAGTGTCTGGGACTCCTCCCTCCTCAGCGCGGGGTGCCCCCACCCGAGAAGGCACCCCCAGCCCCTCACAGAGCTTCCCTGTTCAGATGCTCTGAACCACTTCAATAAAGAACTGGATTAAATTCTGTCGTCTTGCCGGTCACCCTGAAAATCTGCTTCTGGCTGCCCGTCACCCTGCGGCCTGGAAGTCTGAAGTCTCACGGTCCCTCACAGCCCGGGGCTGGGACCCAGCCCTGGAAGAATCGGGGGTGGTCTCCACCCCAACCCGGACCCAGCTCCAGGGAGGAGGAGGGCGTCGCAGGCTATGCAGGGCGGGGACCGGGCCGTGTGGCCGGGGGTTCTGGGTGAAATGCGGAAGCGAGGAGTGGGCGTGCAGGAGCCTGGGCACCAGCAGGTGCGTCCGGAGGGCTTCCTAGAGGAGGCAGAAGTGCTGGGCAAAGGGTGGGTGGGGCCGAGGGCGGGGCCCTCCGTGAATCCCTCTAGCCCCTCTCTGACCCCTCTCGGGTCGCACCGCGGGACACTGTGGGGGGGAGGGGGGCGGAGGCCGGGGACTGGACGATGAGCATTAGGCGGGCGGGCAGACGTCCGCCGAGGGAACGGCCTTGCAGTTCGTGTATCCCGCCGCCACTCGCCGCCAGCCGACACTTTGCCCTCGGTCCCTGAGGCCGCGCTGACCACGCCCCTGGGCGGGGCCGGGGCCGGGGCGGGGCCGGGACGACTGGCTAGTTCCTAGGCGGTCGGTGGTGGCGACGGCGGCGGCGGAGGCGGCGGCGGCGACATGGAGAGCGGGGCCTACGGCGCGGCCAAGGCTGGCGGCTCCTTCGACCTGCGGCGCTTCCTGACCCAGCCGCAGGTGGTGGCGCGCGCTGTGTGCTTGGTGAGTCGGCGCGGCGACCCAATTCGGCCCCAGGCCCCGAACTGGACGCGCGACAGGTGGCAGCGGCCAAGGGCGGTGGTGTGGGAGGCGGCGCGTAGGGCCGGCGCGCGAAGCCAGACCCGCCATCTCCCAATCTCCGGCTCTGCTGCCCCCCACCCCACCCTTGGGCCCGGGCGCCCTCCACTTACCGCCCCCGCGCCAGGTCTGGGCGCAGGGTGGCCCGGATGGCGCCGTAGGGAGCAGGCCCCTGTGCCTGCTGGCAGTGGGAGGAGTTTGGGGCAGCTCCAGGACAGGTGGCGGGCGCCCGGCACTCAGCACTGAGAGACTGAACCTTGGGGATTCACCTGGAAGGGGCTTTCCCGAGCCACGTGCTGTGTGGGCGGTGGGGCTGTGGGGGGTAGGCCTAGCTCTGAAACAGGATCTCCTTTCCAGGCAGGAGCAGCCAACAGGTCTGCTTGCCCACCCGAGATCCGGTGACTCTAGGATGTACCCCTCCCCATGAGCTAGGTGGGCCCTGCAGCACTGGGTTACTGGAGGTTGGGAACGTCGGGGGTGGGTCCCGTGTTCTCAGACCGCCAGCATATCCAAAGCTGGCAAGGCAGGCAGCAGGCCGGGCCTGGACTGCTCGCACATGCCCGCCTGGTACCGAAACCCGAGGGGCCCTAGTAGCACCCATGCCCCCGCCCTACCCAACTGTAAGGTCTGACCCCAGGAGCAGACACCAGGCGCTGCGTGGGGTCAGCAGTGCCAGGAGCTGGGCCTGGCATGCTGCTTCCAGCATCCCGGAGTTCCGGCTTCACCTCCAGCGGGGGTGGGGCTTAGGACTGCCAGCCCCAGAGCCTCCCGAGCCCGCCTTGTGCAGGCAGGCAGGGTGCGCCCGGGCGGGGCCTGCGCCCGGCCCAGAGAGAGCCAGGTGTCCAGGCTGTCCTGCCCCTGCTCACTGCGGCAGAGACGGGCGGTGGCCTTGACGTTTGGGGAGTTGACCAGGTGACATGAGGCTGTTGTTCCCAAGGGCCTGGAACCACTCCTGGAGCCCTGGCTGGTGCACCCCCTCCCCAGGACCTTCGGGGCTCTGAGTGCAGAGCCGTACCCCCAGGCCTGCCGGTCAGACCAGCCTGGAGCCCCCTGTGTGGCCAGGACCCACTTTGGTTGGGAGACGGAATGGGGTTTCCTCGGAGGGGAGGGGCCAGGACTCCAAAGAAGCTGGAATTCCTTGGGAGAAAGCCGGCCAAACCAGGGAGGCCTGTACGGGACAGGGAAGCTGGAGGGGCCGGGGAGGTGGGGTCTTCCCACTCCCAGTGCGCCAGCATGGCTTTGCAGAGAGGTGGGGGTTTGCCACGGCCGGAGCCCTTGGGCAGGGAGGTGGGGCGAGTGGAAGCAGACGGCTCAGGCGGGTGAGCGGAGCCGACCCTCCAAGCCTGAGTTTCTATGATGCTGTGGCCCCTCGTGTTTAAAACTCATTGAAAGGCGCCCTGGCTGGTGTGGCTCAGTGGACTGAGTGCCGGCCTGTGAACCAAAGGGTCGCCGGTTTGATTCCCGGTCGGGGCACATGCCTGGGTTGCGGGCCAGGTCCCCAGTGGGGACCACACGTTGATGTTTCTCTCCCTCTCTTTCTCCCTCCCTTCCCCCCTCTCTAAAACTAATACAATCTTTAAAACCCGTTGAAAGGGGAGGTGGGTAGGCCGCCCTTTAAACCTCATCACGTACAGCCACAAAGACCTTTCTAGGCAGGACAGTCCCCTCCCAGGAGATCCCCATACTTTCCTCAGTGTCCTCAGTCCAGGAATCCCCGAGCCCCAGGACGGGCCCCTGTGGTGGCGACGGTCACCTGATCTCAGAGAGAGCCCGGGAGAAGGGAGAAGTGAGATTGAAAGCCCTGTGCACTGGGAAGCAGCTTTGCATATTATCAGCTGGCTACCCAAGTTGAGAAGGGGCTTTGAAGCTGAGCCCCTAAAGGGGAGCAGCGGCAGTGGGAGGGGCCAGGGTCCCCCCCACCCACCGTGCACCGGCCCGGGCGGCCTGTCCGCGGCGCCGACCCCTCCTGGCCTCTGCCTGCAGGTCTTCGCTCTGATCGTGTTCTCCTGCATCTTCGGTGAGGGCTACAGCAACACGCACGAGTCCGAGCAGAAGTACTGCGTGTTCAACCGCAACGAGGACGCCTGCCGCTACGGCAGCGCCATCGGGGTGCTGGCCTTCCTGGCCTGCGCCTTCTTCTTCGTGGTCGACGTCTACTTCCCCCAGATCAGCAACGTCACCGACCGCAAGTACCTGGTCGTGGGCGACCTGCTGTTCTCAGGTATCTGCCCGTTGGCGCCTCGGTCGCCCTCAGGCGGTGAACCAGAGCAGACGGTTTCCCCAGAAAGCCCTGGGGCCCCCCGGGGCCCTCGGGAGGGGCGGGGCGTGGGGCACGGGGCCCTGAGCGTGCAGACGGCTCGCGCACAGCGATCCTGACCGTCTGAAACCCACCGGTGTGGCGGGAGAGCACGCGGGCCGGCAGCCCGGCCTCCCAGGGTGGCGTCCAGTCCCTGCCTGGCCTCTGGCCCCGGGCCCCGCCGGCTCCTGGAAGGTGCCCGTCCAAGGAGCTGACCCTGCCCTCCTGGCCCTCTCCCCAGCTCTCTGGACCTTCCTGTGGTTTGTCGGTTTCTGCTTCCTTACCAACCAGTGGGTGGCCACCAAGTCGGAAGATGTGCTGGTGGGAGCCGACTCGGCCCGCGCGGCCATCGCCTTCAGCTTCTTCTCCATCTTCTCCTGGGTAGGTTGGCCGGGGCCTGGCTCCTGGTGCCTTGGGGGGACAGGGGAGGCGGGGGGCAGAGGGTGGGGGAGGCCTCTGTGAAGGGCAGTGGAGGAACCCAGCCTCGGGGCTCCCTGCAGGGCCTGCTGGCCTTTCTGGACTACCAGCGCTACAAGGCCGGGGTAGACGACTTCCTGCAGAACTACGTGGACCCCACCCCAGACCCCAACACCCCCTACGCCTCCTACCCGGGCCCATCTGTGGACAACTACCAGCAGCCGCCTTTCACCCAGAACGCGGAGACCACCGAGGGCTACCAGCCGCCCGTTGTGTACTGAGCTGCAGTCCGGGGTGGTAAGGGGCGCAGGGGGGCGCCTGGGGGCCACCCCTCCATCCTGGACTCCGCCCCCCAGGCCAGCCTCCCGAAGCTGCCGGCCCGGCCCCCTGCCTGGTGTCCGTCCCTCCTCACACAGCCTGGCCCACGGCGCCCCTGCCCGAGGGCTGCAGCTGCCCCTCGGGGGTGTTTTTAGGAAGAGAATTCCCCGCTAGTTTGTCGTTGCTTCTCCGGGTCTGCAGCCCCGCCTGACAGCTGGAAGTGCCTGACAAGCCGTTCTCACAAGTGCCTTTGTTGCTCCCAAGCTGATCAGGAGCGGGGCCGGTCCAGGCCACGGTGCCCTGAGGCTCGGGGTTCTCTGCCAAAGACGAGGCCGGGGGCCTCCCCTTGCTCTGTCCCTGGGGCGGGGCCTCCCTCTCTCCTCACTCAGGTCTGCCGCCCCTGCCCCGCCTGCCCCAGAGCTGGCGGCCTCCTTGCCGCTGCTCCCTCTCGGGCCTGGGGTCACCCACCACCCCGTGCCAGTGCCGCCGGGCCTTCTTCCTGACAGCCATGGGTGGGGCTTGTGCCCACCCAGGGGACACGGGGCAGCACCCCCTGCCCGGTACCCCTCCCGTCACTCCCGCCCACCCCGCAGCAGGGGGGGCCTCTGCCTGACAACACCCAGCTTTATGTAAATACTCCGCCACTGTTCCCGGGGTGGTGTGGGTGTGCCCACGGCCCCGTGGCCCCCTCAGATTCTGTCATGGACTACTTGGAGGTGGAATAAATGGTTTTCTCATTTATAATCTCCGGTCACTGGTCGGGCCTCAGCAGGAGGAAGTCCTGCTCTGGGGGATGTGCCGCGGGGTGGGACTTCTGGGGAACTTGCATGTTGAACGAGGTTCCAGCAGGCTGGCTGCCAGCGTGCCTGGTGACTGTCCGCTCCCCGCCTGGGGTCTCATTCCTCACGCTGCCCTCCGCCGTCTTAAAATAGCAGCTGCGCTCAGCTGGTAAACAAGACGGGCTCTTCGGACGCCCTGCCAGGGTCCTGGTGGAGGGCCCTGGGGACGGGCTCTCTGAGCACCCCTTCCCTGGGGCCCACCCTTCCCTTCCCACCCTCTTGGAGTGCAGGGGCCCCCCAGTTCCTGCAGGCGGGGCTCGCACCTCGGGAACCCTGCACAGGCAGGACACCCAGCCCCCTTCCGGGCAGGCCAGGGCGCTGAACCAGCTCCCAGCTTCCCCGTTGAGCAACAGCAGAGCAGCTGTCAGAAGCAGGCCCGACTGTTTCAAAGTGCTGAGTGAAAACGAGGAGGGTTCCGGCGAACAGTCGCACCTTCCTGCAACCTGGTCCTCTGCCCAGGGCCCACCTGCAGCCCAGGCCCACCCCACCCCCACCCCGGCGGGCTCTGGCCACCCCCCCCCTCCCCGCGGCACAGCTAAGCTCGTGTTCTTGGCCCCTGCACCGGAGTGTCTGTTTCACAAACAAAACCTGACCCCGAGGCCCCAGCTGACTGCTCTGAGCCCGGCCTCCCCAACTCCCCCATCTGGGCCCCAGGCTCCTTTGCTCGCCCACGTTGTCCTGAAGCCCACCCAGAGTGAAGAGCAAGCAGACACCCTCCCCTTAGGACGCGCATCACGAGCATTTCTGTTGGGAGGGGCGTGGCCGAGAGCGGCGGCACGAGGAAAGACCTGGAAAGAAACCCGCCGCAGACCCGCCAGTGTCCACGGCGCACCAGGAGGAATTCCAGGCGGTGAAAGAGAAATGGGCTCCCACCAGCCAGTCCATTGTAATGTCAGTTTAATCTCACACACTCGCACAAACACCCGGGTCCGGAGCCCCAGTAGGACCTGAGCGCCCGTGCGAAGGAAGCTGGCACTCTGGCCACCAGAGTGCGAAGGACTTTCGTCCCAGAGGGAAGTAAGACCTGAGTCTAGCTGACATCCAGGGCCGGGGCCCGCCCCCTGGGGGCAGAGGGACAGGGACCCGGCGCTGATCCGGAGCTGCTGATGCCGGGACTTGCCAGCGAGAACAGAAACTCAGCAGCGAAAGCCGCAAGGGGGAGGAAGCCAGCAGCGCGGATGTCACAACAGCATGTGGCCGGCCGGCCCCTCACCCCAAAGGAGAAGGAGCTGTGTCTGCCAAGGCGAGACCCCGAGCCACAGGGCAGGGCCGGTTCCAGCCCCGGGTGGGTCGTGAGCGGACCGGCAGCCGGGAAGGGAACCGAGAAACGCCAGCGGGCAGGCAAGGAGGGGAACGAGTCTGTGGAGCACCAGCCCGCAGGGCCCTGCAGACGCAGGAAGCCCACAGCCAGCGACCCTCCCCGGGCCGGGCCGAACTTCCTCTTCCTCCTTCGGAAAGGCCGCGGGGGTTGGGGGGGGGGGGGCGGCCCCCCCCCGCAGGGGACAGGTGTCCAGCAGGGGGCGCCGGCCGCCCCGGGCTCTCAGTTGGCCCGGATGTACTGCAGGATCTGATGCGGGGCCAGCGGCTTCCTGGTCCCGGCCGCCTCCCCGAGCTTGGCCTCCCCGGGCAGTTCTCCTTGTCGCCCGGCCCGGCTGGCTGACCTGCGGCCTTCTGGAAGTAGCACAGGCGGCACACGGCGTGGTATTTGTCTGCTCCTCCGATCACCTCAACCTGGCCCAGGGGACACAAAGGGCCTGAGCTGAGCGGGCCCAGAACCTGCGGGGGGGGGGGGGGTCCTCCCGCACCACCCCCCTCCCCCCACCAGAAGGCGGGCGGCGGCTACCTCCTTCTCCAGGCCCAGCCGCTGGGTGTAGGCGGCCTCGCAGAAGCACTCCATGCACACGGCGTTCAGCTTCACCACGCTCTTGGCCAGCGGCACCAGGTTCAGGACGGCTCCGAAGGCCTGCGTGCGCGGGAGGGACAGCGGCGCGTGCTCGCCTCGCCCGGCGGATTCACAAGCGCCGAAGCCAGGAAACCGGCCGCCCCCACCCCAACGCCCCCCACCCCAACGTTAGCCCTGCCACAGAGGGCGTCCGTCTGGGGGCGGGGACGCTCCTGAGTCCGGCTCCTCTGAGCACCTGGGCTGGGGCGGGGCCTGGTCGTCCAGGGAGCGCGCACGCGCCTCAGGGATGGAGAAGGGCCCCTGGGCCGCCCGGACCCTTTCCTCCCTGCCGGCTCCCACCCACCCACGACAGGCCACCTCACCTTCCTCTGGAAGGTCCCGTCCAGGGCAGCCACGATCACGGTCTTCCCCGAGTTGGCCATGGCCTCGCTGAACTCCACGATGTCAGGGAACTGCAGAGTGTGGGCGGGGGGAGGAGGGAGTGAGCTTCCACCCGGAGCGGCAGCTTCCGGAAGCCACGGGGGAGACCTCGCGGCACCCAAGAGGTCCTGCCACCTGGACGGGTGGCGTCCTCCGCACCGAGACAAGTCAGGACTCGGGTCCTTTCCACACCAGGGCCTGGGGACACGAGGAGGGGCCCCGGCCCCCCACTCCCAAACTGATGCCCACAGCAAGCAGGCTCTGCTACTGGAAGGCTTGTGCCGTTCCCATGCCAACCCCCCCTCCCAGGGGACGTGAACCCTGGGCCTCGGCAGGGTTCCCCAGTCGGCAAAGGTAAGGCTGGAGCCACCCAGGTATCTGCTGCGTCTCCAAATGTCCACTGGTGGCCATGTCACTGGCGTTTACCGCCTTTAGTTTTATAGGCTGTTATGGGTTGAATTGGGTCCCCCCTCCCCCACAAACGGGTGTTAGAACCCTGACCCCCAGTACCTCGCAGTGTGACCCTATCTGGAGACAGAGAAGCTCAGGGGAAGGGAAATTTGGACAGAGGCGCACAGAGGGATGAGACGTGAAGACACGGGAGCAGCCTGCAGCCGGCCCCCGTCACAGCCGCGCCCACAGCAGGACTGGGGGCCCGCAGAGTGGTCAGCGCCGCCGCGGCCAGGGCACTGGCCCTGAGCACATTGACACAGGTGACATTTAAAGTGGAACTTCAGAGTACTCAGCAAACCTAGGGCTTCCCTGGTAGATGACAGTAGCCAAAGTGAGGGGTGCAGGCCGGAAAGGAGGGGTCCACCTACAGCACCCCGGGACCTGTGGCCAGCCGCTTCCTGAGGTCTGAGCGGGGAGACCGCACAGGGGAGACCGGGAGGCTGGAGCAGGTCTGTGCCTCGGCCACCATCTCGCCAGGAGCCGGGGGGTGGCCGAACACCCCCCAGCTCCACCTCCCCGCTGTCATGTTGTCACGGAGGCCACGGAGGCCAGGGGTGGAGGATGTAACAGCACAACATTCAACTGCAGATGGTGAAAGACCACGTGACGGGCCAGACAAAACCCAGCTGACGAACAAACGGAGAAATGTTCACGGCGCGTGCGCGGGACGGCGTCGGTGAAAAGAGACACGGCGAATGGTTACGCACAGGCCAGTAGCAGGCAGAGGAGAGGAGCCTCCCCGACTCCCCGGGAGAGGAAAGCAGCACTTGGAAACACGCCACAGAGACAGACCCACTCAGTCACGGCTTCCTCCTCCCGCCGCAAACCGGGCCACAAGTGCTCAGTGAGAAGGCACGGTGGCTCAGTGGATTGGGCGCCGGCCTGTGAACCAAAGGGTCGCCGGTTCAATTCCTGGTCAGGACACATGCCTGGGTTGCAGGCCAGGTCCCCGGTTGGGGGGCATGTGAGAGGCAACCACACATCGATGTTTCTCTCCCTCTCATTTTCTCTCCCTTCTCCTTGCTCTAAAAATAAATGAATAAAATAAATTTAAAAAGAAAAAAGAAAAAAAAAAGGAAGGCACAGTGAATGCAAAGCAGACCTTACACCACACCCCGGGACATGCTGTTCTGAGAGCAGGTCGTGGCCCTGCCTGGGACAGTAACCGGTAAGGGGACGGTGACCTCCTAGCAGCCCCAGGAATGTGTGCTCATGCTTTCCCAAAGGAACAGGAAAACAGCCAACCATTTTTCCTCGGCTGCCCAGCTCAACTCAGTGAACAAGAGAGATGGAAAAAGGGGACTGAGTCTCAGGGGGTTCACAAGAACAAGGCCCAGACAAGCCCACTTACAAACTGCCCTTCGTCGATGCCTATGACGTCCGCGCCTAGGGCCTCCTGGGTGGTGTCCCGGAGCTGGCAGGCGGGCAGCGCCTCCATGGTGTTCCTGAGGAGAGAGAGCCAGGGCGTGAGCCGGCAAGGGGGTCCCAGGAGACTGGAGCCAGAAGGGCTGCCCTGTCCGCCTAGAGCTCGGGGAAGACTCAGCCTCGCATTGCATTGGTCTTCACATCAGTGCGGTCAGGAAACGCACTGCTGTTTTTTCTTCTTCGGATGGAAGAAGAGACCCACCAAGGCACAGCACCTGGGGCCTCCAGAAGCTGTGATCACTGGAGCCAGAGGCTGGCTGTGAGTCCTGCGCGCCCAGGCGGAGCAAAGCCAGGGATCCCAACGGCAGGGCGATGACCCAGAAAGATTTCTTGCACTCGGCTCCTCCGGGCCATGAAGGGATTTCTCCGTGACCCGTGACCAGCTGGCTGAGCCAGGACGCCACCCGTGGCCTCGCGAGTCCTGGGGGACAGCCCTGCCCGGCAGTGTGAAGGGCAGTGTGTGGGAACATTCCAGTGCAGTAAAAGACACCCCGCACCCCCCCCACCGAAAGCCAGGGCCTTTTCAAAGAGGAATGCTATTCCTTGTCCTGTCTTTTTAAATAGTTTCTATGTTTTCCCACAATGTCATTTTCTGTGTCCATTTCTGCCTCTCCCGGGCTCACCGCCTTCAGAGGGGCGGGCAGTTTCCCGGAGCCGGAGGCTCAGCCGTTTGCGGCTGTGTAGCACCCCCACCCCTCGAAACCCAGGAGAGCAGAGGGCAGGCAGGGGGCAGGCTGGGTCCAGCTGCAGCAAGGGCAGTGACCGGGAGCTCTGTCCCGCCTGCCAGGCACTCGGGCGCCACCCCCGAGGCCCAGGACGGGTAGGATTGTGACGCTCGGCCTGTTCGGATTTAACCCTGACCTGACCGACTCCAGAAACGTGACGTCTAATCCCTGCAGTGCTGTCTCCTCTGCTTGCACTGTCCTCCCCAGACACGCCCCCGTTCCTGTGCGGCGGCCACGTTTTAGAGACAAGGAAGCAGACCCGTTGGCACGGTGGACCTGCATCAGACAGCACTGCCAGAAACATCTCTCTCGGTCCGGACACTCTAAGTCCAAGTTCCCAACACCGCCCGCCCACCAGCCACCTGGCTTCTGAAATGCCACACACCTGCAGCGCGGCTTGGCTGCTGGGGGCTCAGGGGGACAAGTGTGGAGGAGCGAGATGGCAGGGACTCCGGCGCAGAGACACCAGGCCCCAGTCTGCTGCCAAGGGGGGTGGGCAGCGGGAAACTACACGGAACCCCAAACTCAGGTTGCGGACGGAAAAGCCCGCACTGGACGTGGGTAAATGTAACAGGGAAGCACGCAGGCCAGGAGGCCACAGGGAGTCCGCGAGGACGAGCGGACGGAAAAGTTAAGTCAGAACCGCCGTGCAGGCCTATCAAAACCGGCTTGCAACCTCCGCACACGTGTGAACGCCAGAGCGGGGGGTCGGGGTCGCAGCAGGTGCTACGGACCAAAGGGCGGCCGGCTCTGTGTGGTGGGGGTGTCCCGTGCGCGGAGGATGCTCAGCAGCGCCCCTAGAGGCCAGAGGCACGCACCCCTTTCTCCAGTTGCGAAAACTAGAAACATATGCAGACATTGCTAAATGGATTCCAGGGGGCAAAATCGCCCCCGGTTAAGAAGCACTGGGCCGGAGACCCCCGAAAGGCCGAGTCCTAGGCCGCCTCGCCAAGCAACCTTGAACATGCAGTGCCAGGCATCAGCTTCACTAACCATTCCCACATGACCTCTCACCGCATCTTCTGTGCCGGGTTAGTTTTGGCTGGGGGAGGGGCTTTTCGGGGAGGGGGCGGGGCAGAAGGGGCAGGCACTGACGAGTCGTGGGTGGAGAACAGGTTGCTGTACCGCGTGTCTTTGGCGCATTTGATCACCAGGCACTTGTACTGGGCAATCTGGAAGCGCTGGACGCGTCTCATCAGCTCAGTGCTGCGCAGGCAGAGGGGGCGGGTAAGGCCCATGGCGACAGGGCAGGCGAGCAGGACCCAGCTGCCCACGCCGGGCTCCCCACCACCTGCTGGGGGCTTACAGACACCCGCTGATGGACAGGAAGACCGCAGGGCAGGGCGTGGGAAAGACAGTGGGGACCAGAGGGCCCCGCCCTGAGGGGCATCTAGACCCGAAAAGGACGTAAACCCACCACCCGTGTTACTGGGATGTGGGGGGCCTGGCGGCCAGGGATGGCTCTGAGGTGGTCCGGGGAAAGCTTACCCTAGAGGGGTAAGCTTCTCAGGGACCGGGTGGGGTGGGCGGACGCACAGGCCACAGGCAGAGGAGAGGAGTCCGGACTACATTCCAGATTAATCTCCTCTGAGAGTTCTTTGCAGTAGGAACTGACGTCACAAGCCGGCTTTGTGCGGGAAAGGAGACACTTCGCTTCCAGGCCCCAGAGACCGCCCTGGGCCACAGATTTGGGCTGGAGCACCGTCCAGCAGTACCCGACTCCCCGACCCCTGCCGCTGGGCCATGTTCAAAAGGGCCAAGGAGTTACCGCGGCGCTCATAGCCCCACTTCCGAAGCAAAATCACATCGCTCCACTGCTCAGTTTGGAAAGTCAATTTCCTGACCATCCAAGGAGATGGTCTCCCTGCAAGGAGGCGGTCCAGGGCCTGGCCCCCAGGGCACGAAGTCTTTAAGACCTGGACGCCCCTTTCTGAGTAGGGGCGAGACTAGCAGTGCCAGGACCAGCTCAGGAGGCACCAGCTCTGGACCGAGGATTTAACCTGGGTGGGGGTGGGGTGGGGCGGCCCCTCTGGGATCAGATCCGGGGAAGTGGGGCGGGGGGCGGCATCCTGGGCGGGAAGGCTCCAGGGCGGGGGCGCGAGGTCCGGGAGTGGGGGTTGGGGGCTGTGCCAGAGGGGGAACTCTGCCAGGGGTGCTGGGGCAGGAGGGCGAGGGTCCCAGGGTGGTGAGGGAGAGGAGAAGGCGGTCCGGGATCAGACCCCCGCCCCTTGAAGCCATTACCTTTTTCCTGAGAACATAGGTCCGAGAATCACCTAGGAGAGAAGGAGAGGTCACTTCGGGGCCCACTGCGCACGCATTCGGGGGCACCGGCCACGACCCCAACCCCCCCCCCCGCCCGCTTGCCAGGACCCCGCCCGGGCGCCCGCACCTGGATCTGCCCCCCGGCCTTGCAGGGGGAGCCGGGCAGCACGGTGGGCAGGGTGAGGCAGCTCATAGTGCCTGCGGGAAGACAGCCAGAAGGGAGCCCCCCTTCTGCGCAGGACTGCCGCTGCAGAAGCTCTTTTGGATTCCCGCGCGCCCGCGCGCGGGCCAATCACCGCGCGATTCCGAAATCGACCGGAGATTTCCCGCGCAGCATGACCCCCTCCGGGGCGGAACCCGGCACAAGCTCGCTCGGCATCCGTAGGCAGGGCGGGGGCGGGGCTCCAGGGGCGTGAGCCTAGCTAGTCCAGTCCCGTCCCGTCCACCCCCGGTGCGCACGCGGGGGCGGCGCTGAGTCAGGTTGCAGACGTGGAGATGGATGTGCCCGTGCAGGCTCCCCAGAGCGAGGCTCCCTGGAAGAAGATGTCCGAAGAGGTAGGCGGCTAGAAGCGAGGGTCTGGGGCTGAGTGCAGCTCAGCGATGATTAGGTGGAAGGTCTGGGAGGAAGCTTAGAAGCCCTCTAGACCACTCTTGTGGGCGCCGTTGAGTGCCCACTTTGGGCCCGCTTCCGAGAGCTCCAGCGCCGTGATGTCACCCCGTGATGTCACTGCAGGCAGGCCTTTGTGAGCCTGTGGGCCTGACTTGAAGGGTAGAGAAAACTGAAGCCCTGGCTACGTGAATATCCATAAGCTACAGAAATCGGCAGAGTCCTTGACCTCGGTCCGAGCTTGCGCAATGAGTGCGTAGGGTGCGCAGGCCGCAGGCCAACTGCGGAGGTCGGGGTTTGCTGCTGGGTGCTCGCGAGGGTTAGAAACGCCCTGTGGCAAGCGCCTGCGGGGATTACCCTTGGATCACAATCTCCTAACTCGTCTGCCTGCCTTTGAGGCCGTGGTTCTTTGGTCCGGGATGCCTCTGAGAACCTGATGCAAGTCAGGGATGCTGCCCCGAGGAAATCCCAGCATGCGTCCCTCTCTGACACACACACACACACGCGCACACACGCGCACACATCCCCAGCTGTCAGAGGACCATCAGAGTCCTTTGCAGGATCAGTAGGATAAACCACAGCCCTGAAGATGAGGAGGGAGCGCCAGGCATGGCTGCGAGCCCCTGGCGGGGAGCCCTGTTCCACGGGAAGAGGAGGCACCCACGTTGGAGTGGTTAGCTGTGCTGGGCTTGCACGCCTTGTGTCTCTTTACCTTGTGAAGCTGCTGTCACAGTGCCCGGTGCTGGTAGGAAGGAACTGAGACCCTGAGGCTGACGGCTGCCCGGGGCAAAGCAGCCCGTCGGTGATGGAGCCTGGGCAGCACGTGGCCCAGCGGACTGCAGAGCCCGGGACCTTTCCCTGAAGCCTCGCTGTCTTCAGATTTCCCGGTGCGGCGTTGGCCTGTTCTCCTGTACCTCTGTGCCCTTTCTCAAGATCCCCGTTACTTTCTGCATCACGTCCAATGTCTTAGCTTGATGTTCAAGACCTCGGGTTCTCCAGCGGCAGCTTCCTGGCCTCGCCTCTGTGTGTGAGCAGTCCTGCCGGTCAGCATTCCCAAACTGGCCCTGGATTCCTTCCTTACCGCCTCCATGGCTTCACCTGTGCCGTGTACACCTGTGGTCAGAATCGTACCCTTCCAGGGAGCACCGGCTCCACGTCACTGTCCTCAGTGGCCACCCCAGTGCCCCGGCCTCCCGACGTCTGAGTTCATTGGGACACATTTATGGGGCCTCATCTTCGCTTTGAGGCTGTTTGCTGGTTAAAGGCATGTTGTCACTCTGGACCACGGATGTGAGAGCATCTGCGGTGTTGTGTCCGAAGCACCTCACTCATCAGTGGGGGGGAGTGGAGAGGGGTGCCAGGCTGGAGACCGGAAGGGCTTGCAGGAAGCCAAGGGCGTCTATGAGAGCCTTAGAGATGGGGGAAGGGGCGTCTCAAGGCAGACGAGCACCCAGGCACGTGGCGGGCGGGGCGCACTCTGCGTGGAGAACGCAGGCCTCACAGGAGCTGTGTCTGTGTCCTGCAGGAGCTGGAGAAGCAGTACTCCCCCAGCCGATGGGTTGTCCGCCGGGGAGCAGAGGGAGCCCTGAAGACCTACTCGGAGATGGGAAAAGAGGGTACAGGGGACCTGTCCACGGCTGCCAGGGGTGGACTTTGGCTCATGGCAGTGGTTCAGAACGGCGGGGGTGGGAGAGGAGCTGCCCCACAGCCCGGCTCTCAGGGCAGTTTCCAAAGTCCAGACCCCGGAGACCTGCGAGCTAGCGAAGTGTCAGGGTTCATCCCCATCTCTGCCCTGCGTGTCCAGAGTGACGTGGTGTGGTTTTAATGCTGGGCGAAGCACCCACACTGAGCTGGGGAAGCGGGCATCACGGGGGTACTGTGAGGAAGGAGGCAGCCAGCCGCTCCCCTCTGCCCGGAAAATCAGGTGTTGGCAGACCTGCTGTGTCTGAGCAGAGCGAATGGAGACCCTGGGGCGCCGGGGCTCTCTAACGGGGGATAACCCAGCCCGGCGCACTGGCTTGGGCTTATGCCAGCACCCACGCTGTCCCAACTGGTGTGGGTGGAGCCTCGTCTTGGGCTTTTGGAGTTGCCTTCTGTGCTTACCTGTGTGCCTCTGTTTGCTCAGTAAATATTTGCGTGTTCGGTGACACCTGCACGAGCTCATAGAAAACCTGGGTGCTGTCGAAAAAGGGAGTCACTCGTAAGCGGCAGGAGCTAAGACAAGTGCGCCGCCGTTGCCTTCGGAGACTGTCTTTAGGAGCTGCTCCCGTGAGCCCCGGGGTCAGCTCTCAGGTCACGGTCCGCCTCCTTCCTTTCTCGGTACTCCAGCTGGCCCAGCGGGGCCGCGGGCGCTGCAGACCCATTTCATAGATGCGGAACATCTTTAGGGTTCGGGGGAGGGGAGCAGAGCCACGCATGTGCAGGGGCGGAGCCTGTCTCTATTTAAAATGCCGGCATTTTGTTCATCGTGGACTTTGGGGCCTTCATTTTTATTTAAAAATATAAATTGCGTTTAAATAGTCTTAATCTTTGTATGGGTCTGCCTGAGCTGCCATCCAGGAGGCCGTACACTGGGGTCGCTTCAGCAATAGGAGCCGCTTCTCACGGTTCTGAAAGCGAGAAGCCCAAGGCCAAGGTGCCAGCCAGCTTGGGTCCCCGCTGAGCGTTCTCTTCCTGGCCGGCAGGCAGCCACCGCCTCCAGGTCCTCACGGCGTGGACAGGGGGAGGGTTCTGGTCTTGCTTCCTCTTCTTACAAGGCCAACTATCCCGTCCCGGGGCACCCCCTCAGGGCCTCATCTAACCCCAGTCACCTCCCAAAGGGGCCACCTCCAGGGCTTCAACACAGGACTTTCGGGAGGCACGGACATTCAGGTCGTAACAGTCTTCAGGACGGAGGTTTCTGGTGCCACCCGCCAAGGTCGTGCCCCACGGGAGTGCCTCACCCACCGCCCCCTAGTCCAGGCGCTGCCCGATGAGGTTCAGTGACTTAGCCAAGCTCACTCGGCTGGTGATGGTCCCCACGCCCTGAGCAGAGCCTCCAGGTGAGAGTGGAGCAGGTGCTGTGCGAGTGTAGGGGGCGGGGGGTGGGGTGGGAGGATGGTGACAGATGACATCGGTGAGGGCCCACCAGCTGGCCTCTCCCGGTGGGGTTCCCCAGCCCTCACCGGCACTGCTGTAACCTTGGAGTTTGCCTTGTTGGAGCCAAACTGGCGGGAGGCAGCAAAACGTAGGAAGAGAAAGCAGGAAAAAAAACAACGACAACCCACAACGTCTCCTGCCAAGCCAGAAAACTAAGAGAAAGGAGACGTGTTTTGTTGGGTAAAGATGCAGCCAAACGACAAGGTGCGCCTCAGCAGCGGGTAGGGAGGGCCGAGCCCGAGGGAGACCTCGCCCGCTAACAGGGCCTGGCAGGCCCGCCCCCCGCCTGCCTGTGCTCCCGAGAAAGGACGCCTGTCCTCAGGCCGGAGGGCCTGGCCGGACCAGTGGCCACACTAGTGCACCCCAGTCCACCGGGCACCTGGGGTGAGCGTCTGTGTTTGCTCATTGCCTTCTTGCGGGGGGGACTCCCTGTGTCTTTATGACCTGAGGTAGTTCTGCGACCTAGAGCCAGCAGGGCTGAAGAGGGGACCCGGACCTCCCTCGAGGAGCCGGAACCGGAACCGGAACCGGAACCGTGTGGGCTGGGTGACACTATCTTCCTTGATGATCACATTTCAAAGAGAGGGCTGGCCGGCTGCCAGAACTTTGAGAAAAACACTCCCAGGTGGTAAAACCGGCTGGAGGCTTGTTTCGCTTTGAAAACTACCTATGTCTCAAAGGGGTAGGGAAAGGACTTACAATTTCCTGTAAGTTTCCTATACTAAACACTCTGAGGATAGGCAGCAAGGTAAATGTTTCTCTTCTTTTAAGGTTTTACTTATTTACTTAATTTTAAAGAGGGGAAGGGAGGGAGAAAGAGAGGGAGAGAAACATCCATGTGTGGCCCCATCTCCCAAAAAGCGCCCATCACCGGGGACCTGGCCCGCAACCCAGGCATGTGCCCTACCCTGGGGAACAGACCGGCGACCCCGTTTGGCAGGCCGGCGCTCAGTCCGCTGAGCCACGCCAGCCGGGGCTAAACTCCTCCAATTTGCACCTTTTCTGATTCGCATTCGCTCTTACAGCACCTTGGCAGTCCGGAGAGGTTTCTCCACCTGTCCCCGTCAAAGGCGGGCCTCCCTCAGGCTGGGCGCCCTGGCGGGACCGCGGGATGGGCGTGGGTTGAGAGCGGGGGGGGGTTAAGAACTATTTTCTCTTAAACTTGTTTTACCAAGACTCTCATACATGTAATATATATGATAGACATATAGGAGCTGCAGTCCTGCGGTTCTGCCTGCGAGCTTCACCCGCTCACTTGGGTTTTCCAAACTCCCCGCTTCCCAGACCACGCCTCCCTCCAGGAGGACCAATCACCAGCGGGGTGGGGTGGGACCTTGTGATTGACAGCCTCTGCGACCAACAGGGTTTCCCAGGGCCCTTCCTGCCTTCACCAGCTAAATGGTTGGGCTTTTTCCAATATGTTAAAAAAGGGGGGGCGGGAGGGAGAGACCAAAGGGACACAAAATACAACCCCCAGTTTGTTCTTGTGGCAAAACACCCGTAACAGATTTTACCATTCTGACCATTTTAACACCTCAGTAGTATGTGATACATCCCTTCTAGTTCCAAAACATTGTCATCGTCCCGGAAAGGAAGAC